TATGTCCTCTGTAGAGGACACCAGGATTTAGTTTTTCTAAAAATAAAATGACAAGAGTAGACATGAAAAGGTAAAATCAATGGGAATTTATTTTAAATCAATCAATTTTTAGGTTTCAGGATTTTTTTATAACTAACTTTGTTTAAGGATGGTTCTCAACGATGTTATAAAATATATAACACAATGATTTGATATACCATTTTGCTTTATGCAATATGTGTGTAAAAATTCCATAAACTGGTTTTCCCATTAAGCACAATGTTATCTATACACTGTATCTAGTTTGCGTATTAAAGTGCTGTTTGGACAGCATGTTGAAAAAATAAATGTAATAATGGGAGTAGTAATTGGCCAGATTTTCATAATAATATCTAATATTTCATAAGAATAATGATATATAATTTGTTTTCCTATTCAATTCTTTTGTCTCCCAAAATGTATAATAAACATGCTTTTAGTCCTCTACAGTGGACATGTATGAAATGATGTCCTGTTTCATAACAAGAAGTCATATTATTCATAATATTCATTAAATATTAGTCATAACATTTTCCTGAGATGTTGATTTATGACAAACAATTTGAAAATTAATCAGATTTAAATTATAATTACAAAATATTATCATATTTCCATAAGGATGTACAATTTTATCACTAAATTAATGTCAGCCATTTTTAAAGACCAAGGAGAGGGAGTGGTCTCGGTGAAACATCCAATCATTTGGTATCTCTGGAAAGCCCTGAATGTGCTCTGTACAGGACATCCAGACTTAAACTGTGGCATGTGAGGTCTCAGAGAAATTCACTCAAATATAAGGTCCACTACAGAGGCAAAAACTCCATAACTGGGTCTCAGGAGGATATACAAATTAAAGATGAGATGAAATGTTCATTACCTGCCTATCTTAACCTTCAATGTCACCACTGTAATCCAGTGTATTAACTCAGTTGTATGAATTGGATCTACAATGTCACTCCCAAACTTCCCCTTGTGCTGTGCAGTAAATACGACCCATTTCTATTCAGGAATAAAAGAAGACATGGGACACCAGCATGGGCTGCACCAGGCATTGTGAAGTGTAGCGATGGATATGGGGGAGGGAAAAGCAGGAATATTGAAGCCAGATCCATGAACAGAAAGGGGAGGAATACAGGGAACTAAAGAGAGGGAGGGGATGAAGGGAAAATTCCAGATGCTTCATGCACTTCCCCATGAGATACACAGAAATAGAATTAAGGAGAGCAGCCCGCTGACATGCACATGAGGAGGGATGGAGAAAGAGGAAAAGGAAAAATGAGAAGAAGAAAAAAAGAGTAGGAGTGAAAGGTGGGTTGTAATGTAGGAAAGTTATTAAGTGAAGACAGATACAGTTACCAACCCCATTTATCAAATAAATATGGAAAATATTTCACCACACACACACACACAAAAAAAAATTCACAAGTGAATTTCAGAACATAATAATATACTGTATTCAAATTTGATTTTTTTTTTTTTTTTTTTTAATCCAGTGTATTAACTCAGTTGTATGAATTGGATCTACAATGTCACTCCCAAACTTCCCCTTGTGCTGTGCAGTAAATACGACCCATTTCTATTCAGGAATAAAAGAAGACATGGGACACCAGCATGGGCTGCACCAGGCATTGTGAAGTGTAGCGATGGATATGGGGGAGGGCAAAGCAGGAATATTGAAGCCAGATCCATGAACAGAAAGGGGAGGAATACAGGGAACTAAAGAGAGGGAGGGGATGAAGGGAAAATTCCAGATGCTTCATGCACTTCCCCATGAGATACACAGAAATAGAATTAAGGAGAGCAGCCCGCTGACATGCACATGAGGAGGGATGGAGAAAGAGGAAAAGGAAAAATGAGAAGAAGAAAAAAAGAGTAGGAGTGAAAGGTAGGTTGTAATGTAGGAAAGTTATTAAGTGAAGACAGATACAGTTACCAACCCCATTTATCAAATAAATATGGAAAATATTTCACCACACACACACACACACAAAAAAATTCACAAGTGAATTTCAGAACATAATAATATACTGTATTAAAATTTGATTTTTTTTTTTTAGATTTGCAACAGATTTTATATATCAATGGTATTAAATTATTAGTGTTCATAAAGATTAACTTTAAGTGAACATTACAGAATGGCAGTCTAAATGTAAAAATAATTTGTTCTTTTGAGGATTTTTCTGGAGGAGATATATATACACACACACACACACACATACATCATGCATATACTAAAATATTAGGGTGTTGGATATAGAAAGGTCAGATTGTGTGTTAATATAAGGAAAACAGCAACAGAGAGAAGTGTGTGTATGTGAAAAAAAGAGCGAGAGACAAAGAAATAACCAGAACAGGTGCACGGCACTGTATTGCTGTAGTGTAATAGGTTTTTTTTTTTTTTGCTGTGTCTGCACTATTCCTGAAACCCCTCAGAATTCCCCCTCCCAGCATCACAGTCCTATATCATCATATGCTGGCTGTGTCACCATTGACTCAAGTCTGCCTTCACTGTAAAGCGTTCCAGAGCTCCACTGCCTTAATTAGATGGCTCTGTGCCACATCTTCATTGACCATGCCGCCCTACGCTGAATGATGACAGCTATACTGAAGGTAAGCAAAGCAACTCCCATACTGCATGCAGTCAAAACCACACCGGACCTGTTGCCGTCATGCACTGAGATTGCTGGAAGGGAAAAGCTGGCCTTAGACAAACACAAACAGTAGGTTTGGCTTTGAAGGATCAAATGCAGCGACCAATATGACACGCCACGCTCTGTTTTTGATGACCCTATAGCAACCCCCTCCGAACACACATCTCTATAATCTGCGGTCATAGTGGAGCAGCTTAAGTGGAGTACTTACAGCCGTTAACTGTGTTGTTGTGGCCCATGCTGTGCAACATCTCCCTGCTCCCACTGCGGGAGTTCCGTGCGCTGCCCCAGGGGTCGTTGTCATAGGAACCGGAGCGGGCTTTCATCTCCTCCTTCAGGATCATCCTACCGATACCACCCTGAATCTGAGACACAGAGAGAAAGAGAAAGAGGAAGGCAGAACCAAATGAAATAATGAGCGAGCATCCTGCGATAGTAAGAGTGATCAGCACTTGACGCTTAGTGGCTAGATTTCAAAAATGGTTAAATGTAAATCTCTGTGTAGACAGATGGGCTATAACTTGATGACTGATCGCTGATTATCAAAACCAGGCAAGTTATATCTAATTATTTAATTAACATAAGCTTTAATTACTGGTTAGAGGGCAATGTGAAAATAAAGAGACGGCGTGCTTTATTGGCTTACTCTTTGAAGGCCATGACTCCAGCCATCTTCTTCTCCACCTGATGAGTACCTTCTCCGAATAGCGCGTAAAGCTGAGAGGGAAAGAAATTGAGAGAGAAAGCGAGAGTGAAATCATTTGTCTTGATGAAGCAAAAAACAGAATAGTTTAAGCATCTAAAGGGAGATACACAGCGTATTATAAAATAAACTTGAATGACAGCAAAAATATGCTATCAAATATGCTATAAAATGTATATATATATAGCCTGCAAAGACTCTCAATCGTGACTCCATGCCTGACTCCGGTCTCCCGGGTCCCTATTTTGATGTGAAATCCCTTATCGTATAGAATCACGGTGCCTACTTGGCCATCCTCTGGCCTCATGTAGAGAACAAAGGAGTCTTTTACCACCAGCCATATATATATATATATATATAGTATACACGCAATCTCTTATTTAATTTTAATACTTCTAATCTGCAAATCACTTTTGGCTCAGATTCAGTCTAAGATTTCAAATAAACAAGAAAACAGACACAAAGCCAAAAAACTTGAAGGAATTAAGGAGCCTTTTGATCTCAGAAACTACACCCACCTGTGATCCTTTGGTCAAACACATAGAAAAAAATCATATATTCATGATCGGGATACAACACAGCTAATAAAAATACAGTTCTTAAATGTTTTTACTGTATCTTGTCCCAACTGGAAGATGTAATTAAATATTGATAATATAATTTTTACAAAAATAAATGTAAAAGAAAGGACAATATTAATCACTTTAAGCATATTAGAATATCTCATACATTTCATGACAGCTTCTGTATTATTCTGCTTTTAGTAAATTAATTAGTTTGGCTTCAGATTTAATATAATAGATGTTCTTGTCAAATTTGATTCACACATTTAGAAAAAAAACTTTTCTAAATTTTATTAGATTATTAGATTAAAATTTGATTATTTCTGTAAAACAATTCAATAAAAAAAGAAAATTTGCTTTTGTGTTTATTTAGATGTTTTTGACTAGTTTGAGTATTACAAATTATGACTATTTATAAAGCATAATTTAGTGGAAACAGGTTAAACAGGTTAAGATATTTTGTATTAAATCACTACAATGCATTTGGGACTGCCCAATAGGAAAAGGAACTGCTCTGCAATATAATACTGTTATGGTCCCTGTTTAATTTCTTTGCCTTTTGGTTTTCCTTGTTCCCGTTTGCCTGTGTTTCTGCTAGTTAGTCTCCTTGGTTGTTAATTAGTTCTCCAAATCTGTTCTGTTTCAGTTCATTATTATCTGTCTATTTAACCCTGCAAACATGTCCTTGCGGGGCCCATGCTGGCTTTTTGTGGGCACAGTGGGCTAGGGCCAGCCCACACCAAACCTAAACAGGCCCAGTGCGGGCTTGCCCAGGCGAAGCCCACAGCTTTGGGCTCTCTGTGAGGAGGCCACACTAGCGGACTGTCCACATTAATCCTATGATGGCCCAGTGTGGGCCAGCCTGTTCGGGCCCAGAGCAACTTTTGTATCCTTTGGGCCCATGCAGGTTTTGTGTAGGCAGCCCTGTAATGCAACTAGGAGAATACAAACAACATTGACTGGTCATTCTTTAGCCACTTAATTTAATTGAAAAGAGACCTTTTCAGAACCTGTTGTTTCATATAGGCCAGGGATCCTCAAATCTGGCTCACGAGATCCACTTTCCTGCAGAGTTTAGTTCTAACCTTAATCAAACACACCTGAGCATGTCTTCAGGATCATTAGAAAATCACAGGTGGGTGAGTTTGATCAAAGTTGGAGCTAAACTCTGCAGGAAAGTGGATCTCACGAGCCATACTTGAGGTGTAACAGACATGTTAATAAGAATTTTGTAGACAGTTTTCTTCCTTACCACTAGGGGTGCTAGGGTGTTTTAGGTTTCCTTAAGTAAAGCCATGTGGTAGAAAGAGTTAGCAATAGTAAGCAGCAGTAGCCAGCATGGCTCATCTGCTGAACACATTGTGCTGTGTCCTGGTTAGGAAATGTGTCATTTCAAGCACAGTCTAAAGGACTTTTTTTTTCCTATTTGAAAGTGTACATTGCTGATGTTTTTTGCAGAGATGTTACATGTATGTATGGTCTATGTTTGGATTAATGCTAAGAGTTTAAGACAGTGTATTTGTATGTATTTTAGGAGGACTCTTTATTGGTGAGGCTACCACATCATGGTCCAGTTTGAATACGGATTTAACGTTCTTTTCGACATGAGATAGTCTGGACTATTTTTGACTTTTCAAAAATAAGAGTCTGGTGTTTGAGAGCTGTGGCGTGTTTTCATTACAAGAGGTTGGATTATTCATTTGCTATCAGTCAACTTCAGCTATGGACAGTGTTTGGAAATTGATGTACTACAGATAAGACTTTCACACACATCACCTTTCACGTGACGAAATCCTACAATCTTACATTGCTTTGTTTGCTTTTTTTGTACTTTTGTGTATTTGCATTTTTGGCTATATGTAGCTGCATTAACATGAATGGAATGTTTTCTATTTTGTATTTAATAAATCTATTGATTTGAAATCCCTTTGACTACTGTATGTTTTTGACAATATAGACATTAGTTATGTGGTGACTGCATCCATTTCAGATATGTATAACTGTTATTCCCAAAGACTTAAGTAATATTATAAAAGTATTTAACATGAAACAGATGTACTGTTGTAGATCAGAGGTGCCCAACCCTGTTCCTGGAGATCTACCTTCCTGCAGAGTTCAGCTCTAACCCTGATCAAACACAGCTGAACCAACTAATTAGGATCTGAGGGAGCACTTGATAATTGTAGACAGGTGTGTTTGATCAGGGTTGGAAGTTGGAACTGAACTCTGCAGGAAGGTAGATTTCCAGGACCAGGATTGGGCACCCCTGTTGTAGATTAATAGTGAGGGCTTCCTGGGGGCTAAGTGAGGGCTGCCTGTGCAGGGCCAGCACTAAGGGGCCAACGTTTTGCCAATGAGCAAAATCTCACAGGCCCTTTGCTGGCAGCCCGCTGGGGGCCCTTAGGCTAAAACACAGCTGAACCAACTAATTAGGATCTGAGGGAGCACTTGATAATTGTAGACAGGTGTGTTTGATCAGGGTTGGAAGTTGGAACTGAACTCTGCAGGAAGGTAGATTTCCAGGACCAGGATTGGGCACCCCTGTTGTAGATTAATAGTGAGGGCTTCCTGGGGGCTAAGTGAGGGCTGCCTGTGCAGGGCCAGCACTAAGGGGCCAACGTTTTGCCAATGAGCAAAATCTCACAGGCCCTTTGCTGGCAGCCCGCTGGGGGCCCTTAGGCTAGCCCTAAGTGGGCCCGTAAAGGGCCAGTGCAGGCTTGTTTGCAGGAAAGCCCTCTGTTTTAGTCACTTTGCTGTCCAGTATTGTTTGTGGTTTATGGTGTGTTGTATTTATTATTAAAGACTCTGTGTTGGAATTCTCCTGGGTTGTGCGCTTGGCTATCAGCAACACATAACAAATACATTATTGTTATGACATACTAAATGTATTATAGTCACATTGAATGTTTCCACATTCAGAGACTATAGGATCTTTATTGACATCCCTGTACTTTGAAACTTTTGGAATGATTGTGGCTGGTGTGAAGGACAGGAAAGTGCTGTGGGGCCAGTGAACTGAACGCATAGGACATTATGAATACATTCATCACTTACATTTAGGAGAGCTGGTGTAATGGTAGTAATCAGACTCTGAGTGCTGGTAGTGATCAGGCGAGTAGGCTGATGGGAATTTGGAAGATTGGACAATGTCCTCACTGGTCTTGCTCTTGGTTGCTGGATTGCAGTGATTGTCTGTGGGGAGAGTATGTCAAGATTATATCTTTGGAAAAGCTTGAGATATAACAGCACATAGTAGTACAATCAGGCCCCCTTTACATCTAACATTAGTATGCATTTTCAGTGATCGCACAATCCACATCAAAAACCAGCTGTAAGTGCACCCAATATGCTTTGTGATCATGAACACGACCTACTTTTAGCAGGTCCTAAAAGTAGATCTCATCACCTGATTTGAACAATATTCAATGCATTACTCCTCTGAACTGCATTTGGAATCTCTTGTTTTGCTTCCCAAATCCTCACTAATGCTTCTTCTAGTCTATTTTCACACGGACACTTTAACTTTTTTTTTTTGCTTGCTTTTCTAGACCATATTAACGTCCTTTACTGGTGAAACTATTTAATATAGGTAAACACATCTCTATTCAATCACTACAAACATTGGAACTCAACCTAAGTAATGCTAATGCAATGCTAGGTGTTAAGGGGGCATCAGAAAGAAAGATATAACGCTCACAAAACAGCCCAGAAGGAAATGACTTTAACACAATCCACAACACTCAATATTAAGCATCTGCATTTATATAAATGAGATATTGAATAAGCACAGAAAACACTTTAAAACTCTGTATTATTAGAAACGACACATATATTGATATATTGCCTTTCAAATCGAAAGCAAAACCAGTCAAAAACAGCACTGAACTCCCATCTATATAAAACAACACACACAAGAAGATTCAACACAAATACAGAAGCACAGGCCTCACAGAATATTACCAATCCCTAATGGAAAATACTTCACAGGGATGAGAGACGGAATGCAAGTGACGGACTGGAGATCATTCGAACAAACAAACAACCCAAAACGCAGACAGACAGATGTGCAGGGAGAGAGAATACTTACAGAGTGAATGGTGACCGAGGAAAGTAGAGGTGGAGGAAATTGTATTTAAGGTGGTGAGGGGAAAAAAAACAAGGGAAAAAAAAGAATAAGGGAAGAAATATTTGCATCCCAAAGAGTCTTCAGTGAGATTTTAAGTTTGGTACCCATATGGAAGAGAAGCAAATGATCTGCATGACAACAGTATGTGTCTTCTGCAGAAACACAGCTAGACATCTACAACAATATAACACTTTTCACTTACACATGCAGATCCACCATATGGGTAGCAAAATATTCCTTGTAAAGTGTTCATTACAGGCTTGTGACACGAGGATAAACGCAAATACACACTTGACTACACACAAAATGTAAACTGAGCCAACAAGCTCGCAGAGAAGGTTCTGACCTTTCTTAGAGATAACTTGACGGACTGTGCAAGTATCTGAACTGGCCAGTAAATAAATCTGCAGTATTAGTGCAGCTCTGTGCAACTCTGAAACAAATTAATCTTCCTTATGCCTTCTAGAGCTCTGTGGTTGTATACTGTCCATGCTAATTGGCAGGCCTACACAGAATCTCGACCAGAAGCTTTGAAGAACTCAAACGGCCATCGTTTACAAAGTTCTATATATCCCTTGCTCCCTGTGTGTTTGTCTTTTAAACATTTTAGCTAATTTGATGCTGTTAGAAACCAATAAATGTCTAGTGCGCTTCATTCCATTTAACAGTGCATCTTTTTCTTCCACTCAACTTTCTGTTAACATGCTTGGATACAGCACTCTGTGAACAGCCAGCTTCTTTGGCAATTAATGTTTGTGGCTTACCCTCCTTGTGAAGGGTGTCAATGATTGTCTTGTGGACAACTGTCAGATCAGCAGTCTTCCTCATGATTGTGTAGCCTAGTGAACCAAACTGAGAGGCCATTTTGAAGGCTCAGGAAACCTTTGTAGGTGTTTTGAGTTGATTAGCTGATTGGCATGTCACCATATTCTCATTTGTTGAGATAGTGAATTGGTGGGTTTTTGTTAAATGTGAGCCAAAATCCTCACAATTAAAAGAACCAAAGACTTAAACTACTTCAGTCTGTGTGCATTGAATTTATTTAATACACGAGTTTCACAATTTGAGTTGAATTACTGAAATAAATGAACTTTTCCACGACATTCAAATTTACTGAGATGCACCTGTATTACAGGACTGAATAGTTTCAAGCCAGCTGATTGCTGTGAAAATTTGTCTTTTGATATTTGTCAACATAAAACATGTTTCATTTATTATTATTATTTGTATTATTATCAGTGTTGGAGAAAATCACTATTAAAAGTAATGCATTACGATACTGCGTTACTCCATAAAAAGTAACTAATTGTGTTACTAATTGTCATTTTTTTATGGTAAGTATTGCTCTACATTGCTTTTGTGTTACTTTTTGTCAGTTGGGTTGGGCATGCTTATTTGTTTTTTAATAACAAAAAACACTAAAGTTATATTTTGGGTAACTGTAAGAGCACTTTCACACCAAAAGTGATATTAATAAGGTATCAGTGAATAAATGGGAAAGCAAAGTAACTTGCGTTACTTATTTAAAAAAGAAACTCAGACATTTCATTGCAAATTTAAAAGTAATATGTTACATTACTAGTTACATAAAAAAGTTATCTGATTATGGTACTTGTAATGCGCTACCCCAACACTGATTATTATTATTATTATTATTATTATCCTTCATTTTTTGTTCCTGACAAAAATACATAAAGTATGAAATAATATTTTTCTGGATTACATTAAAATACATAACTTTTTTGGTGGGGTGAAAACACTGGCATGGCAAAAAATCTGAACTGTTGAGCCCAGATAAAATCCTTAATGTTGAGCCCTTTATTTCCCATTAACCCACTTTATTATCTTTAAAATATATCAGGTATACTGTTATTATTTCTTATTTCTTGTTCAAAAACAAGGATCATAATTAATCATACGGAAAATGGCACAAGTCTGTAATGCACATTTATACAGAATATACACATATAAATACACACACAGAGACATGCAGTTAAGGGAAAGATGTACTATTACTATTGTTGAGTTAAAGGGTTAGAGTTCATGGCATTTTGAGGACATACTAACCAATGTACTTGACAAAAAGTTGTGATATTGTAAATTTACGAATGAACAGACAGATATATGCACATAAACAACAATCTATCAAAGGATTTGCCACCAAATAACTGACAGAAGTAGTGTAGGGACTTACCTAGTCCCTACAGTACATGTAACATTCAGTGTGTCATCAGAAACAATATGGCTGCCATTTGAACTCTGTGAACTACCGTAGGATGTTTAGACTTTCACGCTTGCTCATTTCATGCTTAAACAGGTTTGCCTTCCTAACAGCGGTTTCTCAACAGGGTTGAGCGTAACTTCAGTGGGGCTTCTCTGTGGCATCTAATGCGGTCACTTCCCAGTCGATCTAAAGCAGAGGGAGGGGGCATGGCAAGTTTTAACCATGCCTCAGCAAGCCTCATCCTTTCTTCATCACCCTCCTGTAGAAGCAAGGATGCGCTCCTGCCAGTTCTACATTCTTCTATCATGCACGGAAAGGAAAGCAGGATGCAATCTGATGCTTGAGCAGAAAGGACAATTTCTTATCCTTTTTTCAACTAAGACATACAGTTCCAAGAAATAAAGAATGTGAATCCATTTGATTTACATGAATTTCTTAATATATTGGTCATAAAATAGTAGATAAACACAGTTTGCTTAAACAAACAGGCAAAATTTATCCTGACCGTTGCAGATCTGCAATTATAGAAAACGTGTGGCAGTTAGATAAAAAGCATTTATTTTATATATATAAGTATTTACATACTTTTTCTATTTTGCACTGGTTCACTGAAGATGTAAAGATGTATAACAGTTTGTCTAATATTTTTTTAAGCACACTGTATTCATATATTGCTATGATTTATATCAGAGATCAGATCAAATTCAATGACCAATTTACACAGAATACTAGTTCAATCCAAAAAGGTTCACATACGTGTTCTTGCAACTGTACTAAGCTACTTCTAACATGTGTACCATGGTATATACTTCATTTGTGCACGCCAAATCCTCTAGTAATTTAATATGAGCTGTTTTTCTTCCTCATTTGCTCACTACTTCTCTTAAAGTCTTTTCGACTAAAGGGTTTGCTGGAGGACAGCTATGGAGGAGACTAACACTAATCAGACACATCTTTCCCATGAGCCCACACAGCCTCAGGACTGAGCGTGAGGGAAAACAGGCCAGAGCAGGCCGAGGAAACTATACCATGTCTCTTATAGATGGGAGGCTTCCTGTAGATGTTGGGCTCCCCTGTGGCTGAGAAGAAAGGGAGAGATTAGAAATAAAACATGGAGGAGATGTAAGTGACAGGCAGAAGAAAGCAAAGTAAACGGGGCAGGAAATGCTTTTTTGTTCTTCCTTTTCAGGCTTCCAGGGACCTTTAGGGTAAGGTGGAGGAGAGTGGAACGGTTGAAGACAACACAAAAAAGGAGTACAGCCATACTACAGATGTATAGCATAGACATATTCAACAGTTACAGAGACTTTGATTCATTAACGAGACTTTAATTTATATTCATATATACTGCTGGATGAATATGACAATGATGACAGCAGCCAATGAGGTGAATGTCGAGGCCTGGCCTACCTGGCACATGGAAATGCTTGGGAGCTTGGTTTGTGGTGGGCGTGCTGGACCGGGCATCTAGCTGATTGTAATAGGGTGAACTTCTGCCACTCTCAGTGCCTGTAGCAAGCCCCAAGCCAATGACAGTAACAGAACCAGAGCATGAGTGCACACTTCCTGTGCGCCCTAACCACACACACTCAATCATCACACCGGCGATCATCAGATCAATGATCCAAGATTAGCCAGGCAGGGACAGTATGCATTTCAAAACAGAAGAAAAGACATACTGTGCCAGACAGAGGGGTGCATAGGATGTGGGTGGAATGGCGGGACACACTCCCAAATAACAGCCAAACATATCCCACATAAAAAGCCTATAAAGCTTATTTTGGTTAAAGTCAACATGAAATCTCTTACTGTGCTCTTGTTGTAAATAATTCATCACAATCTCATTATTTTAAAAATGTATTTCATCAAAATTGAATAACTTTTTGGGTCACATCACAACTTTAAGATCCAATCAATTCCAGATGAATAAAGTACTGTCTTGCCCAGTGTTTATATTGTTAATTAAATTAAAATATATTTCCGTTAATTGAAATAAAGCTGAAACAAAATAAAATAATCACAATTGAGAATGAAATTTAGAAATGTTGCATTGAAATAAAATAAGTTGAAGTTGAAGTACTAAAAGATCTAGCAAACTATAACAGAAATAAAAATAAAGATGAATTGAAATATAAAAAATTATAAAATGATAAAAACATGACAAAATTAATAAAACAACAAAAATTTAAATGAAAACTGAAAATAAACAAATAAAAGGTACTTCAAAATACGAATGAATACTATAATAGTATCTAAATAATACTAAAATAGCACTTCTCCTTTCTCTTTTGTCACTGAACGTCCCATTTTACTTGTAAATAAATCACATTACAGAGGTAAAATTGGTTGTGAATATAATTTCATGCTGACTTTAAAATCACTATCAGTACTCAACATCAGTCACTACACTCTCATAAAAAAGATACAAAAGCTGTACTGGAGTGGTACCTTTTCAAAAGGTAAACCTTTGTACCTTATTTACCTATAAAGGATGCATACTGATACCTTAAATGTACATATCAGTACCTAAAATGTACAGTACATATTAGTACCTAAATGCAAGGGTACTACCCCAGTAACAATACTCTTGCAAAAGGTTTTGAAATTTTGTTCAATGTCCTTGCTATATAACGGCAAACCACAATTTTATGTATACAGGCAAAGCAAGAAATATATAGTATATTTTCCACTATACTGCATATTCAGTATAGTTCTCAAGCCATTCCTGCTGAAAAGACCAGCTTAGACCAGTATGCTGATTCAAGCTGGTTAGTGCTGGTCCACTATCCATGTAGTTTACCAGCAAGAAATGCTGGTCAACTTGCATAGTTTTCTGATGAACCCGCAAGCTGGTTACACCAGCATCCCATAAATCAGGGATGAGACGGAGTGTATTTTTTGTTTCTGCTCAGCAGCAGGGACTCACCGTATCTGTAGTAGTGCTGTGGAGAGCGGGGCATGATGGGAGACATGCCCTGTCTGCTGTAGGTGGGGGAGTCTATGTACCCCGGACTGGAGGATCTTCTCATCCTCATGTCCATACTGTCATACATGTCCTAGTCACATAAAATGCCATTATTCATAACTATGACTGTGAGAATCTCTCATTTTTATTTACTCAGTGACCAAAATGATTAATAGAGCAACAACTGTCAATTTATCACACTTAATCACACACTTACGTGCTAAATCTACTTTAGACAGATTGATAGCTTGGCTGCAAAATATATTGCTGTGGACTTAACACAGTAAATTTGAGTCAAAACTTTTACCTGAGAATAAGGGGAGAGTGTGCCCAAAGACTGTGGAGACAAAAAAAGGAGAGAGTGAGTACAACAGTAAATCAGAGATAAACCTTCAGTCTCTTCCTCCATGACATCTGATGTGTAAGGGGAGTGAAAAGAGCAAGAGGACGGAGGTGAAGGAGCCACTGTGATCAGACCAACCTATTTTGCATCTCCTGCAGAACTCAACATTATCTACTCGGCAAACATAAATTCAAGAGATAGTTCACCCAGCTATAGATAGTTCATCCTATCATTTACTCAGTCTCATGTCATTCCAAACTCTATGATTTTTCTTCTATATACTACAAACAAAATGATTAAGTAGCTTGTGTTCACAGTTCACTTCAATGTAAGAACCAGAGCAGCATCGACATTCTGCTAAACATCTCCTTTTGTGTTCCTCAAACATCATACAGGTTTAGAACAATATGTGGGGGAGTAAATGATAGAATTGCACATTTTTGGGTGAACTGTCCTTTTAAGCAACATCACACAAATCGCTAGCGTTTTTTAGAGAGCTTTCCAAAAGCAAACTAAAGCAAGGTGGCTCAACCAAAAGCACTCATATTCACTATTAATAGTGGGAGAAAGGCACAACATAGTGCTTCAGCAAACAAAAGCATACAGCCAGCCAACGGATGCAACATAGATGAGAAACTCAAAGCTAAGCTCGGCTAGGACCAGGCCAGTAGATCCGGCAACAGGGGGAGACATGCTAAAAGTCGACCCAGAGTGTCTCTAGTGGTCCTCTAGGGCAGTACCTCCCCAAAGCTGAGACGCTCTAGCCTGTCATCGGAGCAGTATCTGTGACTGGGCTCATTGAACCAGAAGTCTGGCCTCTGCACTTCATAAATGGCTTTAACCTTAGGTAGCGCCGCCAAGTCTTTGTAATCAAGGATCTCGTTCTCTATTTTTGCCTGAGGAGGAGGGACACGTGACAGATACACACACTCACACATCAAATGCAATGGGCAGGCCTGAAAAAAACAGCAATGATGACAGGCGACAGCAACATCAACAATACAATTAAGTGTGGGAATAAGCCCGCGGCACAGTTGGCACACTTTAAAGCAAGTGCCGTTAGAATTCAATTGAGCTCATGATTGAAACTGTAATATAGCACATAAATGCTACAAAAATGTCATAGTGGATTTGATAAGACTGCTTATGACATCATTTTTGTGGGATGTATAAACTACATGATCCAAATACTATTTCAAGGGATAGTTCAACCAAAAATGAAAACCATCATCATTTACCCACCCTCATGTCATTTCAAACCTGTATGACTTACTTACTTAAGTTAAACAAAATATATTTTTAAAAATGTCTCCATGCCCCCCCCCCCTCCATACTATGTAAGGGTCCAGTGTTGTTTTGGACCACACTGACCTTCATTGTATGGACAAAAACAGTTTAAATGTTTTACAAAGCATTTTATTTTGTGTTCAACAGGATAAAGAAAGTCGTACTGATTGGGAACGACACGAGGGTGAGTAAATGATGACACACTTTCATATTTTCATATCAACTATCCCTTTAAAATGTTTAAATTGGTGACTTTCTTTACCAATGATCCCAGATTGACCTTCAGCACGTGTCACGATTGACCTTAAGCAGAGTATGGAGCTGCAGGGCTTGCCAGCGTATATGCTTACAATGTGTTATGCATACATCAATCACACACACACTGCACAAAGGTTACACACTCGGGCTGGCCTTTACTTTCACATGTGATGTTAATGACGGCACCACTGCAGAACGCACACAAACACATTATGAACAAGCCAATAAACTCAAGCACGAGAGTCATCCATCTTGGGATGGCCAATAATACTTACATTTATGCATTTGACAGATGCTTTTATCCAAAGCAACCTTCAGTGCATTCAAGCTATACATTTTATCAGTACATGCATTCTCTGGAAATCAAACCTCTAACTGTCATGTGCCATGATGTACTAGTTGAAAAACCACAGGAATCTTCATGGCATTTTACACTACAAATCCAGTGTTTGGGGTTAACAAGATTTTAATGGTTTTGAAAGAAGTCTCTTATGCTCACCAAGGCTGCATTTATATGATCAAAAACACAGTAAAAACTGTAATATTGTGAAATATTTTTATAATTTAAAATAAATGTTTTCAATTTTAATGTATTTTAAAATGTGATTTATTCCTGTGATGCAAAGCTCAATTTTCAGCAGCCATTACTCCAGTCTTCAGTGCCACATGATCCTTCAGAAATAATTCTAATACGCTGATTTGAAACATTTCTTATTATCAATGTTGAAAAGCTGTGCTGCTCACTATTTTTATGGAAACCAAACCAAGAAATAAAACAGCATTTATGTGAAATAGGAATCTTTTGTAACATTATAAAAGTCTTTACTGTAACTTTTAATCAGTTTAATGCATCCTTGCTCAAGTATAAGTATTCTCTCTCTCTCTCTCTCTCTCTCTCTCTCTCTCTCTCAAAAAAAAAACAAAAAACCCAAACTTTTACTACTTTTACACTACTTTTCATGGCAGTGTATGTCAAATTTAAAATTTTGAATTTCAGTTCATTCAAAAATGGATGTTCTGTCATTATTTATATAATCAAATTTGGTAATTTGGTGATAACTGTACAGTGTTTTTGTGTCCCACAAAAGAAATACAGTCATACAGGTTTGGATCAACATGACAGTGAATAAAAGGTGACTGAATTTTCAATTTTGGGTGAACTGTCCCTTTAACTTGTACCTAACATTAACATGAACACATGTCAAAATAATGACAAAAAGTATCATCATTTTAAAATCAAATGTTCTGATTTTGTATCATTTACAGATCTATCGTTTTCTTTCGAGCTGGACAGTGAATGGCTACTTACACAGATGACTCTGCTGGGTGAACTAATGTTAGAGCCTGGCGGAGAGATGGAGGTTTCTGATGTGCGTCTGAGCTGTAAAATAAAATAAGAAAGAAAACAGAAGAGCTTCCGAGTGAGATCTGCAGGAATTTTGAAAATCAGTGTGTAACTGTTAAAAAAAAGACATTTACTCTCAGTTTCCTCTCTGCTCGAGATGCTTGTTTACACACAGGATGCCACACCTCTGAACCTGAGAAACAGAGCCAAACAAAGAGGAGAACGTTAGATACAGCGCATAAAACCTTTAATCCAGCCATGTGTTAATTCAAGACACCTTAAAATGACTTGATTTAAAACGTAAAAAGTGGGATTATGAGATTAAACCACATGGATTTCAGTTGACCAGTTATATTTATTTTTTTTATTTACCAAGGATACATTAAAAAGAGCAAAAGTGACAGTAAAGACCTTCACATTGTTACAAAATGTTAATGTTAAAAGATTATCACAGTTTCAACATTTATACTAATAAAACATTTCACTAACATGTTAAATTGTAATAATATTTCAAAATATTACTGTTTCACTGTATTTTTTGATGCAGACTTAGTGAGAATAAGATACTTCTTTCAAAAATATAAAATAAAATATCTTACTGAACCCAAACTTTTAATCATTAGGATATAAAAGTGGTATTAAATTTAAATCATACTTCTACATTTTATAAAAGCAAATGGCTGCAATATAACAAAGAGTGAAAAATTTAAGGGGGTCTGAATACTTTCCGTACCCACTGTATATATTCTCATTTTTAATTTATTTTTTTATTTAAATTATTATTATTTTTTTTTTTTGTGTGCTGTCATCTCTCTCTCTTTTTTTTTTTTGGAGTAGGCACTAGCTCCATGTCCTTTTTTGAAGAAAATGTCCCTGATGGACTTGCAATATGACATTTTTATTGCAAATTTTATTCAATTTGCCATTTTAGACCTGCCTGCCAGTCACATTCCTCCTGACCTCAATGGTGAGTTTGAGATTTGGAAGCAGATGGATAACTCAAGCTAAAGCAAATACATTTAATGTAATGACTCTATGAGAAGAAAGGCCAGAGTGCATTCATTCAACTGTGGTATTTCAATTTCAGATTAATGGCTTTTTTAATCCGATGCTCTGTCTCTGCCTGGCTCATTCTCTCCCTTTCTTGTTCCCTACGTACCTCTCTCTTTTTGCATGATAGTAATGTGCTGACGGCCGGCTCTGCTGACTTTTAAATGCATTTACCTCAAGATGTGTTCGCTAGCCTGTAACACACTTACACATCTCCGCACTGAATGTGAAACGGAACAGACAAACACAGAGAAAGACCTGCGGTGCATTCTAATGTCCACCAGCCGCTGGCACTGGAAGTCATATGAGCGATCACACAATTCTACAGAGGAAATCCACTGAATGGGGCATTGAGACGGATCAAGACGAGCCTCTGTGACTCTTTGTGGAACAACATCAGTTTCTTCATAAAAGTCTCACTACAGCCTTACTATCTCCCACATGAATCTTGCATATTGTTCATGATGGTCTGGAAATGAAGCTAATATTGAAAGATTGTCATGGAATATTCTATAAAGAGCTCTTTTATAAGCAAAGTGCTCATCTGCTCTGTCACAAGGATGAACTTGTGAATGAATATCTCAATTATTTTTTCTAAACAAAAACTTACTTTGAGTAATTTTTAAAAAACCCTTTTAATCTCTCATACGTTTCAGAAAACATCTTTCACAAGGTTTCTCACAAGAATTGCCAAAGTGTGCAATGAAAAGTTAAAAAATCTCCTAAAGTCACTTTAATGTCATACAGTAGCTGTATACTCTTACTTCTCTGTATGTCAATGAGTGCCTGCTTTTTTTATTTCTGTGTTCAGTTGTCTGGGACATAAGATCTTTGCTCATCAATGCAAATCCCATAGGCACCTGAGACATTTGAGATTTCTCATGTTAATGTATACACATTATGGAACACATGCCCAATGTTAAATATATTATATATTTTTATATAACATTATATATTTATATATGTGTAATGTTCATTGTTAGAAAAAAATTTAATTAGGTGTTTAACACTATAGTTAAACATGTTTCCACATTTAAGTAATTGCAAAGCTCATAGAAAATGAATAGAAAATAAAACAGCTCATATAATTTGAAGTTCGACCACTTGAGGTTGACAATCACTATTTTCTGAAAGTTAAGCAACTTTCACTGACCATTTGTTGAAAAAGAAAAAAAAATCACTTCCTTATTTGGAAGAGTTTCAGGCCCTACTTTGCACCCTATTCATGGAAAGTGCCGGCTGTTGGCCTCTGTAACCTCTCCTCACCTGTGAGATACATCTCCTCTCCTTCTATAAATGTCATCTGACACCTGGCACAGCGAGCACAAGTGGGGTGGTAGTGCTTCCCTCCAGCCTGGACAGAGAAAGACAGGGACAAACAGAGGAATTTGAAAATATTGTAGGATACTCTTAAAAGATTTTAAAACCTGTACAGCACATAAAAGCTCCACCTGTTAAACCCATTATCATGAGCACAATAAACAAGTAAACATATACTTGTCTCAACAGTGTCCTCCATATTAAGCAACAAAGCACTCCTCCTTTATTGCAGTTTTAATACTGCTCAAGACTCATTTCAGCTCTACAGACGTTTAATGACTCGCTTGCTCACCGTACACACATTTAAAGCTTACGTAGATCCTTCAGTGCCAAGAATCAGTAATTGAGAGAATTGTTCCCCTGGGCCAGTTAAAAAAAATATGAGCTTGTTGATGGAACTGCAGAGAATTAACAATTTTTTTAATATTTACACTGGTTGTTCAGAGTTCTAGTTGAGGAAATGGGACAAATTAGATAGAACAAAAATGTCCCCTAAGTGTACGGTGTAAAAAGGCATTCATTCAACAGTTAATACTGGTCCTTCAAGCTAGTCAAGCAGCATACCAGCAGTGCTGCTGTAACAGTCCAACAGTACTGACACTTTCACAGTTTGTATTTACGTCGTTACACCAGTAGGTGGCGACTAGTGACTGTCTTTATAAGAGAGTCATTGGAATCATTCACTCAGCTGATTCATTCAAAAATACGAATTTATTCAGGTACTAAACACAATGTGTTTATGAATGAATCATTAAATTATTTAATCATTCACTGAACTGATTGATTTAAAACCAAACATCACATGTGACTGTCATTGTAAACGAGACATTGAATCATTTAATCACTTGGCTCGGTTCAAAACTAATTAACTGGAAATGATTCAGCAACAAAATATGTGACTGTCTTTATGAATGAATCACTGAATGAGCCACTAAAACAATTTGTACAAAACACTGATTCGCTGATAAACAAGACATGTGACCGTCTTCATGAATGAGTCACTGAATCAGTCACTCAAATGATTCGTTAAAAACATTCATTCATTCAGGAAAAAACATGACTTTCTGAAAGCGTCACTCAACTATTTAATCACTTACTGAACTGAATTATAGTACAAAACTGATTCATTAAGGAGTGAAACGTGACTGTCTTCATGAAAGGGTCGGCAGAATCATTCACGCAACTGATTCATTTAACATGAATCATGTGACTGTTTTTATGAATGAGTCATTGAATCAGTCACTCAAACAATTTGTTCAAAACACTTATTCATTCAGGAACAAAACAAGTGACTCTCTTCAGTAAGTCACTTGAATCATTCACTCAAATTCTCTTCAAAAACACTAAATGGTCTGAGCTGCTCAGATACACAACCATGGATTCTTTTGTGACTTTGTTTGGAACTATCTACATTAGAAGAATAAAGACCAACAAAATAACTGCCTATTATGTATGTAATAGTAATTGGGTCAACGGGTATTTAGTTATGCTGCTCCATTTGATTGGAATCAACTACAAGATAAGTTGTGCTTAAAAGAGTTGGTATCACTAAATGATTTTAAATGTATTTTAAAGGATCTATTTGTAGAGTCACCTGATTGTAAATGTTTTGAGTGATTTGTGTATGTTTCTGTGTATGTAAACAAATGTATTTTGTTTTATGTGTAACTATATGTGCTGCCTATCTTGGCCAGGACTCACTTGTAAATGAAATTTTAAAATCTCAAGAGTTTTTAAATTTCCTGGTTAAATAAAGGTAAAATAAATAAAAAAATTATAAAAATGTAAAAAGTAAGTACTTAAGACTAGTATGACAGTTGCTATTTATAGACTAACACTGCAAATACACCAAATGTTGTCTCATTAGGAAGCCCAAAGAAAGGAGCATAGTGGAGAGGAGGCACAGAGCAGGTGGCGAAAGAAGGCCAGTTTATGAGCTAGAGCAGCGTTTCCCAACCGGGGTGCCGTCTGTCGAGAGCAGGGGTGCTGTGTAAAAAAAATCATTTTTTTATATTTTTAAATTGCTAAAATTTTCAAAAAAGCAGCTATTATATAATATCCATTTCTGATGTCGCCAATAATTAGAGATGCACTGATATTCCGGCTGCCGAAAATTAGTTCACCGCTCAGGATTCACTTTCATGTGGTGTGATGCTCTGCGTATTATCCCGCTCTATGCGTGTGTGCGCTACGCTCAGTCGCTCACGGCCCATGTGAGTGCTCCACTCATATACTGTTCATGCTCATCGGAACAGCAAAATCCACTCAGAAATCGAGCTGACAGGAAACATCTATGTAGTACAGTATTGTTTCTGTTGCAATAGCCCTACTGTGGTGTAACAAGGTGTGGTAAATGGACAACTCTGGTAACGCTGCCCTCTCATTCATTGATCTGCTAACCGTTATGCTCACGTGTCCTCTGATAATAATAGCTTTCTAGGATTAAACATTATTTGGATAATTGGTAAAAAAAAAATATATATATCTTAATAGCCCTACTGTGTGTTAGACCTACCTGAAAAACTAAAAAGCAATTTATTTCATTTGTAGGCCTATCGTTATTTTTTATTTGTGCTATCATTAGTCATTTCTTTATTTGTTCTTATTTTATTATTAACTGCTTAGCCTCCTTGTAATTTTTTATTCAATTCAAAGTTTTAAATCAAGCTATCTCGTGCTACTGCAACAAAATGACCCAACTGTGAAAATCAAAAATACACTGAGTGAGCAAAACTTTGTTTAATTACCATTATAATTAATTAGCTATCTCACAATGTTTACATATGAATAAAAGACTACATTAAAATCGGTCATATAAATTGGTCTTTTCATTAGAAATTAGCCTCCTGATTGCCACCATCGATGGACAATTTTTTTTTATAATATTAAAAATATCTGTATGACAGTATATTCTGCAGTTCTTCCCTGCTATACCGAATATCTATACTTTTCAAAGTATCATATCGAAGTTAGAAATTCAAATATTGTGACAAAATTTATTTTGTAGGGTGCCACAAATTTGTTAAAATTTCCAAAGGGTGCCACGAGAAAGGTTGGGAAACACTGAGCTAGAGACATAGTGTATGCTGTCATTGCTCCAGGAATCAGTGAGCTGTCAGCTTCTAAATGCTCAGAGGCATGTGGTATCACTAGGTGTCTCCTAGGGGGAATGAGTGCAAATCAAACAGGCAGATAGAGATAAATCAGCCTGTGTCCCACTAGCTATAAATAACCTGACTTGAGTTCTCGCTGGAACACGGAGCACTTCACACCAGACACTCAGACTGGGATAAGAGCAAACAGAGTGACAGGAACTCTGTTTGTGTGTGAGTACACACACATCTCACTCAAATGCATGTGTATTAGCATTAAGCTTCATCAACTCTGGAACTCTCAGCTGGCAAATTATCTCCTTTCTTATTTGTATGTAAACTACCTCATCATGTTTCTCTTCCCCTGCGACCGTCACATTACTCAAAGTCTCTCACGTTCTCTGTCTCTCTCTCCATGACTCCACAACCCTACTAGGAAGTGTCAGAAAATAGCAAGTCAATAAAAAAAAGAGTGCCCGGGGTACCTGCCAAAATAATCTTGCTTATGAAGCGTCAAAGGCCAGAATATTAGGACAAGCCACAGGGGAGGAAAACTTAAGACAGGGCAACCCACTGGCTCTTCATTAGCTCGATCACTCATTCTCTCAGTAACTATCCATTGAAACAGTTGTAAAGAGCCTTAATGTTTAACGCTCCATTTGCAACACACACACACACACACAGATATATATATACAGGAAGAACAAGAAATATAAATATCAAAGGCAATAATAGTGATGCTTTCCTTACTTGTTTATTCTCTCAAAGCGTTATCCTCTACTAGTCTCTCAAAGGTGTATTTTTTGCCATCTGTTAACCATAAATGGTAAAAGTGTTCTGAGAGAGAAAAAGGTGTGTATTTCTGAGGGAAGAGTGCTTCAAATGGTGGTTTTTATTCCCCTGTCTGTATGGGCTTCTTCATCCATCTCCTCATATTTAGCCCTTGATCTTTTTATAACGGAGGCTTGCTGCCTGGCCTGCTTGATGGATAAATGTATATTCTTTTCAGGTATAACTCAACGTAATCAGTGTCTATTCAGCAGAGTTCAGGTAATTCAGTGTCAATAGCAATCAAAGACGAGTCACTCATCACAAAGAACTACTACAGTATATGTGTTTAAGTAATGAGTCAATTGCTCAGGTTCAATGTTCTCTACATGGAGTCCACAAAGGTATTACAGGTGGTCTGTGGACAAGAATAAAACTTACATTATATTTCTAACAAATAACACTACCATTTAAAAGTTTGGGGTCAATTTGTTTTAGTTTTTTTTGTATGTTTTTCAAAGTCTCTTATTATTATCAATGTTAAAAACAGTTGTGCTGCTTAATATTTTTGTAAAAACCCTGATAGATTTTTTCAGTACTCTATGATGAATAGAAAGTTCAAAAGAACAGCAAGAACTGCATTACAAATGTCTTAACTATAATTTTGATCAATTTACTGCATCCTTGATAATAAAAAGTAGTTATTTCTTAAATTGCACTGTAAGGTATAATTTTTGTTTTTGTTAATAATATAATATCATAGGCAGATCTAACTTTTCTCTATATGTCTAGGTTGGGGGGTGGGGGGTGGGGATGTAGACTCACCTCCAGCACACGTCCACTGATGTATCTGTCACATGTTTCACACTTTATCCCAAACTGGGTGTGGTAGTCTGACTCACAGTAAGGAATGCCGTCTCTGCATGCAAATTAAGACTCACATGAATGACCACATTCTTATACTGTTACCAAAAGTAAAATACATGTGTTTAGGTTTTGCGAAACCAAAAAACTATGACCTCCGTGACTCTATTATTATTATTATTTTTTACAAAAGTCCCCAACAGGAGCACCTTCTTATCAGTAAATCAAGTATATATACATACACATTACCATTCAAAAGTTTGGGGTCCGTAAGACTTTTAATGTCTTTAAATGAATCTCTTATGCTCACAAATCTGCATTTATTTGATAAAAAATACAGAAATATTGTGAAATATTATTACAATTTAAAATAATTATTTTAATATTTTGTATATTTATTTTTAACACCATTACTCGAGTCACATGACTTTTGAATGGTAATGTATATACAGTGAGAAAGTGTCCACACAAATTTCTGAATCTAAATTGAATTGTATATCCACATATTTTATATCCACATATACCAATGATACAAAGGCCTATTAATGGAAGCAAATGTGTAAAATATTAGTGAAACTAATTAAACAGAGTTAATCTGGTTCCAAACACAAGAAACAGGCTGCTTTGTGCAACACAATGTGTGGTTGAAAGAAAGCCAGCAGGTCAACAGTAGGAGTGTCACTCACTTGCTGATGTACTCTCCCGTCAGGACCAGGCCGCAGGTCTGACACCTGAAGCAGCTGACGTGCCACTGTTTCTCTAATGCCAGCAGAGATTGACCCTGTTTGATCTCCTCCTTACAACCTGCACAGTCTAAAAGAGCCATGAGGAAGGGAAGAGAGGTTATATAATGGACTTAAGGTTCAAAAGTCTTTCCTGTGTCCAGTCGGCCTTGACAGGTTTATAACAAAAAACACATGAAATACAAATCAATAAATCGGTATTGAGGTTAGGTTAGCAGAAATACACTGTTGAGCTTTGTAGGCTGGGTAGGCCAGCATATGATGTATGACCGTAACAGGATTTTGAGCACAGAAAGGCCAGTGCATCATTTGTTTTAATTTGGAAGAAGTTCAGCTATGTTTACAGTATTTGCGCTGTGACACAGAGCTCGGCTTTCTTCAGTTCACCTTCACGATCAATAAGGTAAATCTTTATACAGACAGCTGTTAAAGTATGCACTCTTATATTCCAACAATTTCTTTCCTCAATGACACAATGTTGTCTTTTTTTGCTCAATTTTACCAACAAAAATATTACCTAGGCTTTAAAGCCACAGCAGAACTACTGTGCGACTCCGTGCAACACGACTGCAACACACAGCGGTGATTCGTTTCTGAATGAATCCATGTTTTGAACGAATCGGGTGAACCAATTATTAAAAGGCCGATTCATAAAGACAGCTAGTTACATCATTCCTGGATGAATCAGCAGTTTGTACGAATCGAATGAATGAATGGATGACTCAATACATTTTTTTTACCGATATATACCACCACCTACTGGCAGTTTTAGTTTATTATTTAGAGTAGTGTTGGGCGATATGGTCATTTTTCAAATCGTCATATCGCCAGTCCGTGAGATCGCCAATAGACGATATTATCTTGTAATAGGCTATTTCATAACTATTTGGTGTTTTATACCACGCGCGCGAGAGAGAGGGAGCCTATGAAATCACCATGAATCTAAATAATATACTTTCAAACATACTGATAAACTAACATGTTAAATACAAAAATATTTAAAACAGCTAGTTCAGATATATTCGGATACAACAGTCATACATTGCTATTAGGACCGCGCGTCCTGTGACAAGTTTGCCGCATCGACGCACGGAAGTTACAGATCAGTCTGGTCTGCAAAATCAGTCAATGGTGAAAATCAAAAGTAGATTTATTTTAAAGACCAACAGTTTAATACTAAATATTGGACATAAACGAACACGTTAAATATAAAGTATTTATTTGGAGACTCCTTCACCGGCAGCAGGCTCCTCATTTGTGCGCGCGTGTGTGTGTGTGTGTGTGTGTGTGTGAAATACAGTGCTGAAAGAGAAAGTGGGGCAATTTGATAATAATAGCCGAATTATAATGGGCCGCCTAATAATAATAATTATTATTATTATTATTATTGTTATTAATAATACATTAATAGGAGAATGAGCCTAATATCGTCTTGACTATCGACAAAGACATCTGCTATCGTCGATATCTCTGACTATCGTCGATACACAATACTATCATCTATCAGCACAACCCTAATTTAGAGTATCACTTCATTAAAAAAATCATATTTCCATATAAACTTTTTTTTTAATAATAATAATAATACATTTAAAAAAAAACATTAAAGGGATAGTTCACCCAAAAATGAAAAATATGTCATCATTTACTCACCCTCATGTTGTTTCAAGCCTGTATGTCTTACTTTGCTTTGCAGAACATAAAATAAGGTATTTTGGTATGGAGACTCCTTTGGTTACCAATGACTTTCATTGTATGAACAAAAAATACTGAGATGTTTCTCGAATTATCTTCTTTTATGCTCCATAGTTTATGTTAGGCAGTTGTAGCCTAATAATGTTTGCGTAATAAATTTTGTTGAATCAAATAAAATATTTATTTCTAAAGCTCCATTTTATAATATCTACTTGATACTTTTCTCATTTAACACAATAATAGCTTTAAATTATCTTTTGTGGGTATTTTCACAGCCAAATTTAATTTACGATAAATTAGATGAATTAATTGCCACATAATGTAACTAATTAGATTAAAAAATGTTAATCAACTGACAGCCCTACTTTATATATATATACATAATGGGAAAGAATGCACAAAAAAATGACAAGTTCATATATTTTCAGACTCTCTACATTTGATCAACCAAAGAGTAAACAGACACAGAGCTCAGGCGCTCTTCATCTCTGGCCTTTATAAAAACTTCACAGCATTTTGCCTCTGTTTACCAAGACGCTACACATTTTCTAATCTGTTGAACAGGGGCAGGGGCGGACTTAGTGATTTGGGGGCCCTAAGCAAATTCCAGGTATGGGGCCCCAACAGAATTACTATGTGCTCTTTTACTCCTAACCCTTATTTTGCTTGCTCGCTCTCATAGTTTATAGCTTATTTATCCCTTCACAACCAGTAATTAGTCAAATGTTTTACTAACATAAAATTATCCCATGCAACTCATCAATTCTGAAGGCATATGGTAGGATTTGCTGAGAAACAAATCGAAAATGTAATCTAAGTTAGCCTATTATTAAGCAAAAATCTCCAGTCATTGCATTCGTGGATTTATACAGTTCGTGCCAGCATGCCTAGGAAAAGCACACAAGCCAGCGAGTCATTTTGAAACATCAAGAAAAATAAAACTATGACTTGAAACACAATAATTTCTTTACTGAGGTGAATATCCCTGTTCTGAGACAGTCAGACAGTATTATACAGCCTAGAATGTGTGAAAAGAGCTCTCCCTCAAATAATCACTAAAAGCTGTCACTTCAGTTCATTGCGATCTCACGCATTCCGTTAATAAGCTCTCTACACGGCACAATTGATCTCTTATTTACATCGTATCTACACTTTGTTATAATGAGAGGATTCCCGAGCTTGCAGAACTCAGCACTTGACAAAAACTTGGCATTTTGAACGGTGAGTGGATTCTAACTTAAACACTTCGGGTCATTACGTTCAAGAAATTAAACGATATATCTGTGATTGGCTACATTGTTGCAAATATGTTTCGCCAATAGGCCTATCAGATGGGGCCCCCTGATTCCCCGGGGCCCTAAGCGGCCGCTTACCTCGCTTATTGGATAAGTCCGCCCCTGAACAGGGGTCTGTTCTCTCCCCTCAGAGACATGCAGGTCAATACAGCCATATGGAGGGTTTTAGCTCCCAGGCAGTCAGAAAAAAAAATAAATAAATATAAGGAAGACTACTGAAAACACCCAAGAGATGGAGAATTATGAATGTGAATTTCCAAACACACACACACACACACACACCCACACACTCAACTTTTGAGTGGCAGATTTGGCAAAATACTTATATACGGTTTACTATACTTATTTATCTAGCCTTTTTTTCTTTGTTAGAACTGTTGGCTAGTCCTAATCTACACGAACACACAAACATGTGGACCTCATGTCATGCAAATGAATAGGAAAATGTTTAAATTGAAGGAAGGAACTTACGGCTGGGCCCATGGATTTTGATTGGCTCATTGGAATTAACCAGCTTGATGGAACAGTGCTGACAGACACATTCTTTACCACTGAACGTCACTCTGTCCCCAATTGGAAAAGGTTTCCTAGAGAGGGAACGACAGACAGATAGACAACATGCTATTAAACTTAGTACACACACATAAGTAAACCAAAGCCTAAAATGACTACAGTCCAAATAAAAAATGTTCCACTCAAATAAATTCGGAATGCTTACAAGGAAGACTAAATTACATAGTAGAGAAAAGTGTTGGCAGGTCCTCACAATGAAGGCAATCCTGACCTACACACACTCAACTAAATATCTAAAAGGACAACAGAAATGGAAAAATTTAAATTGTAATATTACTGTTTTCACTGTATTTTGATCAAATTAATGCAGCCTAGGTGAGCATAAAATATTTATTTGCAAAACATTTTAAAAAATCTTACTGACCCCAAATATTTGTACTGTAGTGTAATGTCTAGAGTAAAAATCTGTATGTTCATTGACAAGTATGGTAATGGAAGCCAACCATATAAGGAGGATTTACTAATTAATAACTGAAGGCAGAAAAGCAGATGAAAGGAGGCCCGACAGAGTTCAAGTAACATTTATCCCCAAATAGAGTTGAGGAAGGCCACATTACCCATAAGCATTAAACGGAGACCAGTAATGACGACGGCCCAGCTATACCTAAGCACGCTGTCTTCCCTTCAGACACACTGAAGGCACAGACACCACTGAAATAATGGAACAAAGTGTCTCACATCACATAATGACTTGACATTTTTGAGTGATGGAGGATAATAAGGGGCAATGTGGACAAGGTGGGATCTCTGACCATATTAGTTTTGCTGGTGAACAACATAGCTTTGCTCAGCCACCAGATAGTCCAGGATAATCCAACCTGGACCAGCATGGAATTTCATTGTAAGCTGGTCTTTAAGCTCTTCCTCACCATTATTGTCAAATCTTGTAGCAAAGGCCTCTGCAAACTACGAATGACGCCACAAGATCACCTCCTGTATATGGTGAGTAGATGATGTTTTATGTAGATAAATGCATGTGTCTCTTCAGCACACATGTCCACATGTCTCATGACAGCTTGTGTAATCCTTTGTGTCCACAGCACTGCTTTATCTGCTCAGTAATCAGCATGGCTGGAAGCTTCTACACCACGAGACAAATCCTATTACAGTAGTCTATTCCTCTACTAATGCAGCAATTATAAAACAATCCATTTACATTGAACCATGACCTTAGAGGAGCACCGGCTCATGATTACCGAACAGATCCTTTAAAAACAGATCATGCAAGACTTCTGTCACTGTTAATATTGATCAGTTTTAACTTAGAAAGAACATTTATAAGAAATGTCACACTTTCGCACATAAACACACACACACACCACACTATTCACTGGGCTATGTGAAGTATGGCATGACAAACTCCTCCACTATTAAGACCACACACAATGATGTCTTTGAAATCGAGAGTGAAAGATGACAGGGTAAGTGGGCAGACAACAGAAGCACTTACATAGCCCTTGTCAGACACATGGGTGGAATAATTCCTTTAGTTTCTGCAGTGTTTCAGTATAGCCGGTGCCAATGAGAGCAGGATCTCTGGATCTAATCTTACTTTCTCATATCCTTTATTATCTCTTTCTCTCTGTGTTTTATTCCTCCTCTTTCACAAAACCTATTTTATTCTATATTTATATGTGAAAACTGTGTGGGCTTCCTCATGAGGCTATGTGCGTGTCTTTCCATGTAGTCTTTATGTGACCTGGGCATTACCGCCACATCACACTCCCTCCAGACACACACAGCATTGTCAGCTTTTCCTGCTCTTTAAAAATGTACAGTTTTCATGTTTTGCTGCATTTATTCTGTCCACAAACACAATCTTGCAACTCTTTCAGGACATCAAAATTAGCATGTGCCCTCTACTTCAAGAAAAAAAAATTTAATTCTTAAAAATTGCACAAAAATAATGTCTTAATATTGATTTTGCATTGATAACAAGAAAAAAACTATAAAAACTATAAAAATAAATAAATAAATCATTTAAGTAAGGAAGAACATTGTGAAAGATAATATAATATTTTCAGACAACATACTGTATATTGAATTGAATATGTATACACACACACACACACACACATTTTTGACTGGTAATGTACTACAAATATATCACTTAATTTAATAAATATATACATACTATATATACATATTTACACATATTTAATACATAAAATTTTATTTATACAACTTATTTTTTTACATTTTGCCAATGAAATGTATTGTAATACAAAGGAACTGCATCTTGTGTTTTTTTCCAGACTAAATAAATGAAGCACTCAGAAGGAGCTACCTATCAGTTATGTTCTTTTAGTTTCATTATCATGGTTTCATTGTTCTTTTAATTTGTTTCTCATCACTTTCCTATTTCCTTTGTTCTAGTTTTCCCGCCAGCCATCAGTTACCATGGACACTAATTAAACAGCACACCTGTTCACCCTTTAGTGCATTATCACTGTGTATTTAAGTTCCTCTTTGTTCACCTTTCATTTGTCTGGTATTGTTTGTGTGTAGCACTCTGTCTCACACACACTTAGATTATTTATATCTTCTTTATTGTTGGAATTTAATTAAATAAATAACCTTTTTGTTATCATCTTCATCTGCCTGAAACATTACATCATCTCAGTGAACTGCAACAGTTCCTCAAAATATCAATTAAAGGTCCAGAATGCTGTACAGAAATATGATTTTTAACGTGACTTCTGAATAATCATTGACAGTGCTACTGGGATGATAGCCCAGTAAATCTAGAGCTTGGTTTCCACACAGATGGTCTAAATATTAAATGTAACATAATCTAGCTCTCCTGTCGACTGTTTACTTCTTGGTCGGGCCGATAAATGTTTAGGTTACTCCTGCCAAGAGCATCCCATTGGGCCATTTAGTAGCCCAATTGGCAATGCAGTCCAACAAAGCAATCCCAGTCCTCTATGAAAATGCCTTTTCCTACCCACATAAATTCATCAAGTGCTAACTCTCTTTCGGGGTACTAATGAACTAAAGGAGGAGGGTCGAGTTATTCAGTGGAACTAATTTCCTGCAGATCAGAGCAAAGCAAACACATTGTAATTACAAACGGGATATAACAGAGACCTTAGCAGCTAAACTCACAGCACTACAGTCCAGCAAAGTGTCCACACAAGCTTAACAAAGAATAGAAAATAGAGAGGAAAAGCATTTAAGAGAGAAAAGAGAGAGAGCAGAGGTAATGTAAAAAAAAGAAGCCTGCCAATGTGAATACTAAAGCAGTAAATATAGAAAATATCCAGTTCTATTAAAACCATTTTTTTTACTACAAAAAGAAAGGGGATCCAAATAACTGTGTTTCAGTGTTGGCCAGACAGATAATGTGTCCCTGCAGGGATGTACCTCTAATTGTCTTGCTTGACAGTCTGAGAATAGGCCACACATAAAAGACAAGAGATGGTGTTTTCCACCACTGCCTTTAACTACTCTTCATATGCTCCTTTCAGTCTGTGAGGCAAATATTCACCTCTAGCTTCAGCAGCTTCTCCATTTACACTTGTTTTCCCTTTGCTGCTTACTTTCTGGGCATTATTGCATATTTTGAGCTCCAAACCTCAGCTTTCTTCCGCCTTGACTCATGTTACAATATCCTGCTTCATTCTACATTGATCGCTCCTACTCCACTTGTGGTATTATACTCTCTAGGGCAATTTAGTCAAGAGAAGAGAAGAGAAGAAGCCTACACACAGGGTCCAAAATAAACACCCACTAAGCAGCAAATTCAAATAAAAATTGGCATTGACAAGTACATTAAAGTTATTAAATGAAACATAATGTATGCATTAAATCACAAGAAATATAGTTTGACCCTGCTGTTTTAATATCTGAACTAAACAACACGAGTAAATCAAATTAAAGAAATACTGTACAAATGATCTGCTAAAGATAAAAAATCAGTAGAAATGGATCAAGTATGTGGAATATTTCACTAACAAAAATATGAAAGACAAAATTACAATGCATCTTCATATTTCTAGTACACAGTGAAAGCTATTTTGTATTATGTAAAAATATATAATTTTTATACTTAATTTTTAAAAATAAATAAAATTTACATTTTGGTCATAAATGTTTATCCATAAAACTTGCAGCCCATAAACTGTTTTGCAATATTTCTTATTTATCCATCCATCCATCTATCTATCTATCTATCTATCTATCTATCTATCTATCTATCTATCTATCTATCTATCTATCTATCTATCTATCACTACTGATATGTGTAAATTACAGTTTATGGCTGGTAAGACTTTATGGCAAGTAAATTTTCTCTCACTATTAGCAGATCAACAAATTTTTTAATGAATTTATCAACAACAACAACAAAAAAAAAAATAAGCTAATTTTGGGCATATGGATGGATATCAACCCTGACAGTGTATGTCTGAAGAAGTGGTTATATATAAAACACTGCCCTACTTGCCCTGCTTTAAGGTCAGGACTGATAAGACAGAATGTGGCACAAGAAGTCAGAGTTTGCCTTCCTACTTTTGCCTTCCCACTTTCTACACGTGGTCCATCAAATCCATTAAATTCAATTAAACTGAAGATATTCCTTAAGCCTAAACATTTTCACCCATCACAGAAACTGAATTTCTTTCAAAAAAAATTATATAATTATCAGCGGTCTTGAAACGTCGCTTGGCTGATCAAATTAGAAGACCGGAACTAACTGTAGTATAATTGCTTAGTATATAGATGAGTGGGGTGCATATAGCTGTCAGGGAGTGAATTAATGAGATTCAGTCATCAGCACATTAGTAAATGAGCATCATTTACCAGCATCCCACCAGCGTTCCTCACGTTTAATCTGTCTGATGGGTCTATTTCCATAATGACATTTCAGTAGTCTGTATAGAGGGCTCACCTGCACACGCTGCAGACGAAACACTGTGGATGATATGTGCGGCCCAGAGCAGAGACCACCTCCCCTGAGATAAAGTCCCCACAGCTGTCACACTTTGTGCCGTACAGGCGCTGGTAGTCTGCTGTGCAGATGTACTCACCACTCTTCTGGAAGAATCCAGAATGTGCCAAATCACAGCCACACACTGGCAGAAAGAGATAAGACAGGAAGAGAAATCAACATGAGATCATTTTGCCATTTTACTTATAGTACAGGAAAGGACAGTGAGGAAAAAAATGGGATCAAGGAATGTTGCAAGCCAGGATTGAACTTGTGATTCCTATATGAGCACCACATAGTAATAAGGTTTGCACTCAAGATGAGTTTTTTAAAGCTACTTTCAAGCAGATGTAACAATAAACAGCTACAGACCCAATTAGACTATATGAGGGCCTTATTTTTGGTGCGCCAAGTTTCTGTTTGAAATGTCTTTGGTATGCTGATCATAGACTTGGAATTACAAGTGACACATAATATCCTAATATCAATATAAAATCACATAATATTGTGGGTAATACTGAGCAATGTTATGATAACGTTAACTAAAACTAAAACCATAAAGCAGTTTTTGTTACTTAAAACAAAATAAATTTGAAACAGAAACAGAAAATGTTAACAAAAATTTAAATTAATTGAAATAACCCTGATACTGGGAAGTGGGACAATTTGCAGTGACACAGTATAATCATTGTAAAATTAAACATAATTTATTAGAGATTAATGACGCACATAAACAAAGTTGTGAATTTCAATTATTTTCACAAGGAAAGGGATTGTTCAGTCTACTAACATGAAAGCAAAAACCTCTCAAAATCACACCCCACATAATATAGATCCAGCAAGATGGTCATGGAATGATGGCTTGGCTTCCTGCAATACTTCCTGCAATACTTAACCGTAATCTGAGGATAATTCTATTAGCACAAAAGAGGAAAAACGCTTCCTGAACATTTTGTTTCAGCTGGACCTAAAAGTTTCACAGCAACAAACATCAAAAACACACATACACAAAGCAATATGGCAGTGCCTTTAGTTCTTACAGGACTTACAGACCACTTACTCTTAAAGTATATTGTGACAGATATATGTAACTCTTTAACAAACTGAACCCCGGGTGAGATGTGACACTGCTGCATGCAGCATGACCGTTTCAGCATGCATGCCGGAGATCACATGCAAGCATGCCTGTGAATCTCCCTGATCTCAGCAGGATTCATATGGCATACTGTCACTACATCATACACACACACACACACACACACGCACACACACACACACACACACACACACACACACACACACACACACACACACACACACACACAGTTTCCCAGCCCTCAGCATCCATCATCCTTGTAATGACAGCTGTTATTGGCTCGTGGAATTGGCAATGATTGCCTTTTGCAAAATGCGTCACTGTACCATAAATCATTAATTCAAAGTCAAACATCCTCCTAAGTCATTCACATGTCATCTAAGTCCTGAGTTCTAAGGAGAAAGGAAAGAAAAAAAGTACTTTGAGGGACGTTCAATTATTAGGAGAAAATTAGGAGATGGAATTTAATGCTCGCTGATTATGATAACGCCTCTCATCGGTTGGCTTCTGACTGAAAGAAAACATAAGAATGCAGGAGTGAAAAGACTTTCTCAAAGCACTCATCTGTCCTGAATGATGCTATCACAATGCCATTGAACTGCTGCTGTGACTATGAACAGCTGCTAGAGCTGTTTGCAGCTCGTTTCTTCATTTGCATGTGTTGTGGGGATTTGCAGCGTTTCTTTATTTGCATGTGTTGTGAGGATTTGCAGCGTGTTTCTTCATTTGCATGTGTTGTGAGGATTTGCAGCGCGTTTCTTCATTTGCATGTGTTGTGAGGATTTGCAGCGTTTCTTCATTTGCATGTGTTGTGAGGATTTGCAGCGCGTGTGTTGTCAAACTGATGAAGATGTTTTCTTAATTTGCTGGTGTTTTTTCAATTTGCATGTGTTTTCTTAAGTTGCAGCGCGTTGAGCTCTCTCGGCCACCGTACACAATATAATACAAATTCACAATATATTTGCAGTGGTTTTGCTGGTAATATAAAATTTAACAACACTGTGAATTTTGAAATGCATTTTCAAAATGGCCATTAATTTTCCTAAAGACCGTGTCATTAAATTACCCTTCCTTTGTCTTGTGATAATGACATGTTAATGTCTGATTTAAACTTAAGTGACAAAAACAATGTTAGATTTGGTCATAGATTAATTTCCTTGAATCAGTTCAAATTTTCCAAGGACTCAGTTAAATGAATTTACTTAAAAATGTTCACAGAAATGCCTGTGTGTCATTTTTCAGTGAATACTGCTGAAAACAGAAACACACCTTTTCATAATTTAATTTTTAATTGCTAACATCCCTTTGTCCAATCTGTTGTCACATTTTCAAAACTCTACACACAATTAGCACAACATCGGTCTGTTGTGACCATTCCATTAACACAATTCATATTGTTTTCACACAATATTCAGTCAATTAGCACATTTCTAAAATGCTTAAATTTTTTTTCACACAAACTTACCCCATACCAAAATCGTAGATCTTTTTTATCTTTTTTACAAATGCTTAAACAAAGCAAGACAGAAATGAAGGCCTCATGTTCCAAACTTTAAATATAGTGTAAAGTCTCTACTTCTGCAACAACAGCAGCTCAAAAGTATTGAAAAATCTCTCTATATAAAATATTGTAACAACTGATAAGCATTTCAAGTAACAGATCACTGAAATATTTAGAAATAGCTGATTCCAGTCTCAGTTGGAGGAATAGTCAGGTGTTGATGCTCTTTCCATTGCATCAACATAGAGTCAAAAATACCTCTTTGAATTAGTTTTGTGGATGCAGAACAACACAAAGAATCAGAGAGAGAAAAAATAATAATGATGCCTGGGAGAGGGAGAGGAGTAGTTGGATCAGAAAAAGGGAGAAGAAGAGGTAGGGGAGAGGAGTAAGAGGAGTAAGCTGGACTGCGCATTTTTATGTTTGTTTGTTTGTTTTCCCCCTTACACATGTGGAACCTATGAAAGCTTATTTCTGCCACGGAATATAAAGGGTAAAGGGTAATTGTGAGGTTTTTTTTAACTCACAATTGTGAATTTATCTCACTATTCTGATAAAGTCTGAATTGCAAGATTTAAACTCGCAATTCCAAGAATAGAAGTCCAAATTGTGAGATAAAAAGGTCACAATTACCGTCTTTACTTTTTTATTCTGTGATGGAAACAAGCTTGCATAGTAACCAAAAGCAATGTATGTTGTTATTTTAGTTGATCACTGGCATCAGCTACCATGGGGGCACCATTGAAAGCAATTTCAATCAAGGTTCCAACTGAATTTCTGCATAGGGGACCCTATTTTTTTCTATTGTACATTCTATAAAGTAATGACTCATTCAGTTTTAGACAGTATGTGGCCAAGAATTAACAAATTCAACACTTAAAAATGTAAAATGGGTTTCAGTTGAAGGTAATTAAATTACAAAAAACAATGGATTTTTATATTGTCTATATGCAGGTAGAACTGAAACATGACAGATAATGCAGTTTTTATACAGATAAAAGTCATCAACTGTTAGTATTTTGACAGTCACTGTGTTATGATTGACTATATTTTCCTGTTGGATAGAAAAGTAGTGCTAATGTTTTGACTGAATGACTCGATTTTGAATCGGGTTTGCTGTGTTTTGATAGAGTTAGTTATGTAGAAATGTAGTTATGTTTTTATGTAGAAAAATGTATTCAGCATTTTGAAATGTAGAGTTTGTATTAATTTAACAAAATGTAGTTTTGGCCAGAAAATTAACGTTTTGGCTAATTGTGTGATGTAGGTGTGTTGCTGTGTTAAGAGTTTAGAAAAAGTACTTTAAGTATAGGTAAACACTTGTTAGCAATTGGAAAAAACTGTAAGATGGTCGACTCACACACACACACACATATATGTGTGTGTGTGTGTGTGTCTGTAGATAGACAGACAGACAGATAGAAAGATAGGCCTGTCGCAATAATCAATATATCGACTTATCGCACAATATATGTACATGACCTCAATCATTTTTGGTGATGCAATATATCGCCCGCTATATATACTTAAAAATTAATGTCACCATGTTTTGTACATTGCACTTGCGCCTGTGTCTTTTGCAGCTTCTCGTACATAACGTGGTGTAGTCATGAGGTGCTAGTTCAAATTTAAAAAATTCTTCTACAAAAAAAAAGTTTCATCTGCAGATATGGTCTTGTTTAGGGATCTGTGCCTTTGTGCATACGGACATCTGACAGCTAAGTAGTGATTGTGTTTTTCAGCAATAGTGTGCACCCCTTAATTTACAGAGAAAAGAAGGTCAGGGAAAAATATGTAGATGGAAAAATCTCCATACATGTCACGTTTATGGTCTGTTTTTGTTTTGTTTTCCCTCTGTTCCTGCCTCTTGTTTCTGTATGCCCTTATTTGGTCATGTTCCTGTCCTCATTATAGTTCATTATGTTCATGTGGTTTTCCATGTGTTTGATTGTTGATTGATCCCAGGTGTGTCTTGTCAATCACCCCATGTACTTAAGTTCCTGTCTGTGTTATCTGAGTTTGTCCGGTATTAAACGTCGCTGTTGTGTTTCGTGTGTGTTCCTGCCTGCCTTGTTTTACCCCGTCTTGGATGATTAAAGACATTTACTTTGAGTCTATCCCACATCTCCTTGTTCTTCGTTTTGCCACAGAAGGCAACCGTGACAATACAAGTTCTTTGTGCATTTTTACATTTTTCTACTTGTTACTTTGCACTTTTTGTTAGAAAATGTATATTTACTATTTATTCAGGTTTTTTTAAGGTATATAATATTTTTATACTTAATTTCCATTTATCTAAATATTCTTAAAAATTAGTTGTCATTTGGAAGTGTGTATGCCTTCTTGCATTATTATGCTGTTACATTATGATTATATAGTGACATAAAATGGTCTTTAAAATGACAATAATATCCCTTATTGCAATTATTTCTGGGGTAATATATAGCACAACAAAAAGTTGTTATCTTGACAGGCCTACAGATAGATAGATAGGAGAGGAGATGAGGACAATACCTCAAACAAAGAGACTTTAATGAACATCCAAGAA